TAACTCTTCCCAAATTCGTATGCAAAAGAAAAAAAAAGCTAGTAATACAAATAGTAATTGGATGCTTTTGTTAATATTTCATTCTAGGTAGAAAAAATAAAAGTCAAGTGATATTCCACTTCTATGTCATAAGAGTATTTTCCGGGTACATCTTATACCTCCTACTTCAGTGAGGTAATAATATCTTTGATCCAGCTGCACCAAAACTGAGTTTGCAGTTTTTATAAATACTTTCATTTTTAATTCTATGAATTTGCATTTACATAGATGGTTTAGATTAGTCCGGGGGCAGGAGTCTTTATTTCCCTCTAAAAGGTTCTCCCAGACATGAGCACTATGCTTGATATTAGTTGCCATTTAGTCTTTCTCAAGACGGTCATGTTGGCTGTCGCACACTCCTAAGGGAGAGTTAGCTCTCTTGGGTGAAGAGCATGTTGAAATGTGCTGAGTTATGGCCACAGATTAGAAAATAGTTGGTTATATTTAGGCTTAAAAATAAATCTGTTTCATGTTCCTTTACATTTTGGATTGATAAAGAAGAATTTTTTGCTTATTTTTTTTTTTAAATGTTTGCATGTGTCATTCCATTCCTTTCACTCCTTTCATCTGTTCCTCCTGTTTCCTTCAGACATGAAGTCACAGCACTGTCTGTGATGTCAGTGTGTTTCCATATTGACAGACCGTTCTGTCAGAAACAAGATCTTGATGCTTGTTTCAGATGAGGCAAAAGGGGAATACAGATGGCAAGAAGAAAATCAGAGGAGTGAGAGGGGAGTGGGGAGAAATATACACAACACAGCTACAGGGGAAAATGCAGAGTCCAAAGACAACTTTCCTGCAGGACCTTCACCATGATTATCCAAAATGTGTGTGTCATTTTGAGTATCTAGCAGAAGCTTTGCTGTTGCACTCGTTTTGGCTCAAGAGTCCTTTCAAGGTGCAGGAGCAGTGGTCACATGCTACTTCTCTCCTTGTTTACGCCTTCAGCAACAGCAGATCCTCTTGATTGAAGCCAGGATTATAGGATTTCCAAAAGCTAGAACACACTCGTTGTCAGCAACTTTGCATAAGTTCAGAGGCTGTCCAAAAATCAACTGCCTGCTCTCATGTGGCTCTTGAAGTAATTGTCGCTGTTCAAGATAAGGAAATCCTCTTCGTAACTCATCGAAGTTCAGGCTTCCCAAGGAAAACGCCTCCCAGATTAGGAACAGATCTAAAATCACACTGTTGCAATCTGCTGAAAAGCTTCTGAACAATTGGAACTGAAGAAATAGGGGAAGTGGAAAGAATAAAGAGTTAATGAGTAATGAGTACCATGCAATTAATAGATGATCTAGTAAAGAGTACTAAGATCCTAAAAACACATCTAGCAGCGAGAGCTGCCTGCAGTTCTGCTGTGTTTCTTTTACCAACATGAACAGTAGAAGCCAACATTTGGAGAAACCACCCGCTATGCCAACATTTCTAAATGCTCTCATGCATTCAGTTTCCAGTAGACTGTAAAATGCCAGCTTGATACAGTCATCTGAATTAATATACTTTATTAGCCTTTTTTTAGCATTCGTTCCTGGGTTTGTACACTTGATAGCAACAATATCCTCATCTGAATATGCTGCCGAGGGAAGACGGAGAGGGAGATGTTCACGCTGTTTCTGCTGCAGCAAGTAACTCTTCTCAACAATTAAGCAAACTATTTGTGGGTACTTGGCCACTTCTCCAGCAGGAAGTCAGAAAGCAACTGGCAAGTACTTGGATCCATTGCTTGAGGCCTAAAGCTGTCGGAAAACAAATCTCCTCTCCTGTAGCCCACAAACACATACACCTAACTTACTTCCAACTTGAAATATCACTCATATTACAAACATTTTTATTCTGCAGCTGTGTCTGTACATATGTCTATGCTGGTTTTCTTTCTTAGGAACAGATCTGATTTAGAAGCAAACATCTTTGTGGCTTATTAGTCTTTGGAAGGCATCGTTTTGTCCCAGTACTATTCACAGGGAGTGTTGTGCAGAATGCTGATTGACAAGAGTTAAATTCAAAACATGTAGCCATTTTCTGGTGTGTGGTTTTTTTCCTGATTGAAGGAAAACTACTTAGATGTTTGTTTCCAAAACGGCATCTGTCAGCAATCAAAGGGGAAAAATTGCATAAAACAAATGCAATTGTTTGGAGTAGCATTTCCTGGATCATGTTAAATGCTTGATTTGCTCCCCATTATGCTCACCAAATAATTTTATTTTCCACAATAATTGCAATATTTAACATGTTGTATTTAATCTTGTTTTAATGCTATTAACAACAGCCGTTTATGAAAGGAATAATTGCTCTACGGGTAAGAACCCACCAGCCCCAGCATCAGAAAGAACAATGGCAAACTTAACTGCACCTAATTGTTGTGAATTTAAAATGCTGTTAACTAACAGCACTCCTCATTTCTTTGCACAGAACTACTATACTCTCAGGAAGGAAATGGTTTCATGCTTCTGTCATTCATAAGCTGGAAAGTGTATGCTCTTCTAACAGTATATTTATTCAGTGTGTTTATAATTAATATTGGGAAGTCTTATATTGGTAGAGGATGATCTAAGCAGTCTGAAAGCAGTGGTTAATACAGCAATCATGGGAGTTTGTCAGTAGATGTATAAGTACATTAGGTGATGAAAAACCATACAGACCTAAGAGAGATTTATCAGAACTTGACTGGAATGGCGTGCAGCACAATGGGTATGAAATACTAAATAAATAATAAGCGGGGTGGGTGAGTTGTTTGGGTTGAGAGGTAGGAGCCGAGAGAGCAGCAGAAAATTGAATCTGACACCGATTCAAAGGCTGATTGTTACTTAAGTATTTTACTTTATATTTAGTGTGATTATTTGGAGGGAGGGATATTTCAATAAGCAGCAAGGCACAGAAAGGACAGGTAGTGTTAACAAACCTGCAGTAACAGAAGACGATAAACGCTTTGGCCAGCCAGAACAAGGACAGTTCCTGGCACTGTGTCCATGATTTGTTTTTTTTTCCCTGGACTCAGACTAAAACTTAACACTTCCCATGCTAGCCAGACCCTTTCCTGTAAATGGCAGTAGGATTGTACCTGCTATCTGGAGCGAAAAAAACAAACTGGGATGCTAAGAAGTTGCCTAGCTCATGCACTAATGTATTTTTTATGCAGTCCAGTTTAAGGCTGGGGCAAAAAAAAGGACTAACCCCTGCATGTTACATCAGCAGTTTGTGTTTACTCTGAATCATTTGCTTGTTATCTCTCGCATCACAGCAATCTGAAGGTATTAGTGGAGCTCAGTGAAAGTTAGTTCTGTCCTGTACTGAATGGCAGTTCTGTAATCTGTGCAGCACAGTATGATCATTTTACCATAGCCCAAATAGTTAAAGAATAGTTAGTACACAAAACAGTCAAACGGAGGATTGTGCGCCCACGAGCTCCCCTCTTTGATACAAACAGAAGTGGATATTGTTTAAAATTGAGTGGATATTTTAATACGTTTTCCTCTTGTGTCCGAATCATGAAAAGATTTGCAGAGTGTGGCTGTTTTGAGTTGTATCGGCCAAAGCTCGATGGACCTAAGGTGTATTCCTGAGAGTCCCTTTGCAGCTTCAAAAGTTCATTTTTTGCAAGCACTTGAGGGAAGGCACCACTGTACAGATCCAAGTGCCCTGTCCTGATGTGGTGGTGGCCACAGGGAAGCAACCGTTGCTTGTGTGATACAGCAGGGTGATTTAAATGGGAAGCATTCCCTGCCTGTTTGATAGTCAGATGTCGTAAAAGTAATACTTCTGTTGCATTTATAGCGCACTAGAAGTGGGAAATGGAGATGGGAAAATGTCTGATTATATTTCACTTTATTTTCCGGGAAAGGATTTTAATAGTGGACAATAGCAGGATTCTATAACTTTTTCAAACTGCTTTGGAGTTGTGTCAATTCCACACCTAAATTCTGGTTGTTGCAGGGAAGTTTTGCAGGAGGGAAAAGCAACCCCCTGTGAGGCTTTGCTGGGTATCACCTGATGGTGGTAGGAAGTGCAACTTTAAAAACCAGCTTTAAAAAATATGGTAGCAAAACTGTCTTAAGAATATAAGGAGGGAATTGTCCTGTTCTTCGGGAGCATTTCAGCCATTTGAACCTTCCTATGAGAAGTCATTCATTTGAACAATAAGATCTGGTATCTAAAATCAAGAAGGAACAAAAAGCCAAAACTTTAAGGTCTCAGAAAAAAAAATGAAAGAGCGTTTGATTCCTTCAGAAAGCTGCTGTCACTGAATCAAGAATAAACTTGAGCAGTTTATACTTTTTGCTTTGCCTTTTACTGCTTAAATGATCAGATGCACAATTATGAGAGAAAGAAAGCAAAAAGCGTTCTTATTTTTGCTCAGTCTTTTTTCTCCCCCTCTCGGTCACGTACATGAGAAAAGTAGCTGCGATAAACAGATACTGAATCAGACTGAAAGTCTTTTTAAAAAAAAAACAAAAAAAAAACCCACCCAAAACATTGCATGATAGTCTCTAAGCAGTTCCATCTGTCAAGCAGAAATTTTAGGCTAATAGCCTGTGGCGATCTCCCTCCGCAGTCCACTACCTGCCTTTGTCCTATTAAATCTCTTTATTCTTCTTAAAAAGGCAAAAAAAGAGAGGAAAGGAAAAGAAAGAAAAACCTTGCAGACCAAAATCATCTGAGTGATGAAGCCCCTAATTTTGACTGCCTCTCTTTGATGTTCAGCAGTGGGTTCTTATTTAGAAAAAAAAAAAAAAAGGAAAGAGGAGTGTGAGAGAGGGAGAGGGGGAGAGACAGGGAGAGAGAGAGAGAGAGAGGAGAAGACAGTGCTTAGGAGCAGATGACTTTTCATCTCCACTTCACCTTGCCACTGGGTCTGTGAGAGATTGGTTCATTGTCAAGATTTTTTTTTTTTACCCATGATTCCATATGGTATGGACCGGGCTACATGTTGCCCAACATGCCAGTGCAAATGTTTTCTCAATTAGGTGTCTTATCTCCCGTGAGTTAGCATCAGATGAAGCTTGCTGACAGCATAATGGCAGGGAAAACCTCCGACGGCTCCATCAAATGGCAGCTCTGCTACGACATCTCGGCCAGAACTTGGTGGATGGTGAGTTGGCAGCAGGGCTGCCTTTTTTTTTTTTTTTTGTCTTTTTTTTTTCTTCCCTTTTCTACTTTCCCTCCCTCTTTGACAAAATGTCCCAGACCTCACATTTATCAAATTAACATTTGATTTTTTTCACACTCTTCAGTAGAGCAGCCTCACACTTGTCCCACTTGTGTGCTTTCCCCTGTGTAACAGGAGACCGTTAATGTGCACTACAGTTTCCAGAGGGAAGCTTTTTCAATTCTCCTTAAGGGGGAAAAGAGGAAAAAAAAAAAACCTATGCAAAGAAGTAGTTTTGCAACGCCTTGTACAGAGAAACTTGTCTCAGTCGGCTGCTTAACGCTCAGTTTGTTTTACTTTATCTGCTGCTTTCAAGCATTCGTGTGCGTGTGCGTTTTTTCCCATGCGGTATTTTGTAAAGAGGGGAGGTGGAAAGTTCAGTCCGTTACAAAGCAAGTTGCTTTCCTGTCAAAGCCTGGACCGGTGCGGGAGTGTCGTGGTGTAAAATCATCACGTGTGAGAGGAGCGTGTTTTGCGAGGTGCTGCCTTTCCTCGGAGACCCCGAGCTAACTTTTTCCCTCCGCCTGTTTACGTTAGAACAGGTTACCGGGCTGTGCTGACCTGGAGCCATGTGTTACAGATCCCGCAGAGTCTGGCTCTAGCTGCTTTTGGGCGCAATTAAAGTTTCCCTAAAAGTCCCAACGTGCTCCGTAGAACGAGTTAACTAGCATGTCATGGTCAGCCGGGCCAGACAACCTTTGACATCTTGAATCTATAAGAGGTATAGTGAGTTAGGAGGATGCACAATAGCCCATTGTGGCAGAAGATGCAAGTCCTGTTGTGAGGAAGAGAGTCCTCAAATCATTACTGCCCTCGTTAGCGTGTTGTCCGTTAGGGATTAATTCGTTAGCAGCGCATTTTTAGTTTTCTGTAATTATTATTCTTGTGGCAAGCGTGAATTCTTCCAGTGAGAGGAAAAGTTTGCTGCCAGGACAATGAATGTATTATCCGCTCCTAACTGGACCGTGAACCTCAGCTCATTTCACATAGATATCAGTTAAAAAAGGACTGGCGAGTGGAATTACAAAACAAGGCATGATCACTTTCATTGTATGATACGCTGAAACAAGTCGGGGGCTTTCCCTCCCCTTCGCCGCCCCGGACCAATTTTGGTATCATTTGGAAAGTTTAAGACCTCTGAGGACTTGAAAGACTTTTAAAAGTGAGATCCGGAAGGTTTTTATTCTGCAGCTTGGTGGTGGCCATTGTGTATATCATGTGGCTTGTATTTAAAGGTGTTTGGGCTCGGGGTTTATCCATTTTGTTTTGTCTAAACTCTTAATTTTTTTTAACCGTCTATTAGAGGTTTGCCAGCGGTTGCCAGTGAAATGTAACATGCAGCTTTTGGTTAATGGCAATAGGGAAGTCTAACCACTTTACTTATAGTACTGATTTTCCAATTAGACTTTCTGCCAGGGGAAGTTGGAGGGGGAAGGGGTATTTGCATGCACATAAACTGTTGATTATTCATGTGACTTTTTTTTTTCTAGCTTGTTAAACCCTTGTAAATAAGGCTATTGATTCTTTGTTATCATTTTCAAAGCGAAGTTTTCAAGTACCTGTTTTAACCACAAGATTTAGAGCATGCTGTGATTTATTTTTTGTCTTATTCTAAGCCATGTGTGTATTTTATTACCACTCCTCTTTTATTGTCTATCGGCTGCTTTTATGATGAGGTATGTCCGTAGTTTACTATTTCATAAGTATCCTCAAATGTTACTTAGCAGTTATTTACACCCTGTAGAAAGTGTCCGAGGAAGTTTCATTTCAGTCACATCTATTTCACACATGTTTTAGTACTGCGAATATAATATGTAATAATGCTGGAAACATTTAGTAATGCACTTGCCTAAAAATAAACAGTTTTATAACCACACATGCTGTTGTTTAGATTAAACGTTGCAGAAAGTTCTCCTTAAACTTGAACGTCACACCATTTATTTTCTAAGAGAACAAAAAAAAAACCCACCCCACTAAAATAGCCTTGTTTTGTAGAAGTTGTGCTAGCTGAAAGAGATGGTATTTTTAACTGAAATGAATAATTCAAGATCTTTACAATAGATGTGTTAATTGCAAATAATTTTCATACCAACTTTCAATTATTGATGGACTAAGAAGCAGTTTTTCATACAGTCAGTGCATCTAAACCGTACAACAAAAAGTAGATATCTGTTTCTTTTTACCCCCTAAACCTCATCACAATTGCCACATTCTTTTAATCAAAAGTAAACTAGAGAGCAGATTTTAATGTTTTAAAGACAACAACAACAAGAAAAGCTTTTAAAATTACCTCATGTATCGTCTGGCTGCACAAAATCTCAGCTGCACAGTGCTAAACTTCGGTTTGGTACTGCCAGCATACAAAGAGATGAGTGAATACCCCTTGCACCCATATGGACTCAGCTGCCAGCACTGTGATATGCAATTTTGCTTTTTAATGAATCGTAAACAATTTGTGTGTCAAACGAGGGAGTTTGTTTTCTTTCTGGAGCAGGTTCGAAATCCATTTTGAGCTCTAGCTGGGTACTGTACTGGAGTATTATGCCCAAATTTAAAGGTTCTGTGTCATTTTGATGAAAAGACCTGTTATAGTGAAAGAAACGGCTTTATAAAAGGCTGGGGGTAGTAATCTCTCTCTCTTTCTTTCTTTCTCTCTCTGTCTCTCAACCTCACACTCTCCCTCTTTCACTCCAGTCTATAGCATGTTTATAGCTAGCTGGAGATAATGGAGATTGGGTGATTGCATGATTAGGAAAATGAATGGATTTTAGCATTGGGCAAAGCAGCTTGCATTTTTGAAAGGTGCCTTTAAAATGCAGAGTTCTAATTTTGACCTTATTTTCTTTCATAGATAATCTTTATTAATGCTCCTTTAATTCGGTTTCCCTCATTGCAGCTAGTTTTTCTCTCCAGCCATCTGATGGAATGGCTAATATATTTTATCTTACTTGCCAAAATAGTGCGAGGTCAGAGTAAAAGAAAAATGTTATTTATCTTTCTTGGAGACAGTTAGAAATGTTTCAAACTATTTCGGTAGAACCCGCAGTATTTGTACGTTTTGGCAATAATTACATCTGTCACCACAGTTTTCAGGCAATCTTTTGACACCCAAATCTATTTTTTCTTATGCTTTTATCAAGTAAATGCAGCAGCAGTTATTTTGGCTATATTGTAATGTGAGATTTTAGCAGAAAACTTCCTCCAAAATGCTGTAAATTTGTGTGAGAAGGAATTATACATCTTTAATGTGTATGTAATAGCAAATACTTTAACCAGGGTAGCGGGCCGAAGATAGGAGATGATTTATTTTGTTGGAAATGTGATCATTATTTCTTAATCATTGGCACTTCTTTGTCAAATTTACTGCTGTCATAGAGACACTAAAGGGTTAGTCATAGAAAAGTTTCAGTACTGTCTTGCGTTTGTAACAAATATGTGCAGCTGTGCTACTCTTATAAACATTTATCTCAAGCTGATTATTTTAATTATTTGCTCTAGCAAGCCAATGTGATGTGACTATTCTATATGTTTAATAAGGGATTGTCTGCAAAATTCCTTTGCACAGGGTTATTGAAATACAAGTGCAGCAAAGGTGTAAACTGGAGGGAAACTTTCCATGACAACACAAAACTAAAGACCTTGGACCAAATTCTGCTCAGGTTTTACACTGCCATCAGCCTGGAGTCACTGTGTTAAGAGGAGTGGAGCGACTACAGGTTTACTTACCTGAGCGCCTGAGAGCCAACTTTGCCCTATAGTTTGAGTTATCTCAGTCCAAAGAGTTTCAAACCCCAAACTGTTTTCCTCTGTGAAACATCTGAGGAAAATGGCCTTATTAATAAGTTAGGAGCCATTTCAAAGGACTCCATGTCCGAGTTAGCGAACTGCTGTTATTGAATGCGACAGCTAACACAGGTCTTCAGTCATTCTCCGAAATAATTGTTTTCTAGTTTTGTTATCCAGTTATCGCTCCATAGTTCCGTGTATATGCCTTTATTTTCTTGAGATACCGTAAGTTTAAAACCCAATTTGTTAAAGACAGTCGGACTGGACTTGGTCATTTTGTTACTTGAAAGGTGTTTAACTCGCCATCATTTTTTCCCTTAAGCTCTTGGTAAATGCCTTTCTTTCACACATCTGCGCTCCATTTTCATAAGGAATAGCTGAAATTGCTCAGGTAATTTATGCAGTAAAAAAATAAAATTTCAGAATGTTACTAGTATTCCCTTCTATTAAAAATTAGTGGAATCTTCACTATAAATCTCATTGTAAATGAGATTAAAGGTAATGGCACACCTAATAAATATTTAATTTCATCATATGGGAAGCTAATTGTTACTGTCAAAGCTAAAATAGTCCAACGCATGAAACACTCACAAGTAGTATTTCTTATTTAAATCCTTGAGTGTATCTATACATACTTGCATATATGTTCTCTCACCTAAGTTTATCCTGGTGATCCCCACATGCTGTGGAACCCTTTGTGGCTTTGCCGATTTCTGCTTCCTACTTATCTGTATATCAGAAATCATACGGGTATTACTAATTATCCTGCTCCTGCCTCTATAAAAACAGTGTTAACAGTGAACCCTTGCAGAATGGGGTTTGTTTTATACAGTAACTCTCGTGTGTTCATACACTGCTCTATAAATGCTTTCAATAAAATCATTCTTTCTCAGAGTTGCTAAACTCCATGTATAACTATTTAACTTGAACATACATATTCAGTGCATGGCTATACACACATTATAGTATCTTCATTTTCTGTATGTGACCTCCTTTTCCCTACAAGGATTTGCCCTAGTTGTTTTCTACTCTTTTCCTTCACCTGTCCTGAATATTGCCATGAATGTTTCTAATTTAAAGCTAGAGGACTCAGTGGCTGATTAGAAGACAGGAAATTGGAGGATTAAACTGTCTGGTTGAACTTCCTTTACTTATCAGTACTGAGTAACTTACACTGGATTATAAACTCATTGGGACAATTTCTACAATGTATCAGTACTTCTGTTTTCTTAGTCTTTATTTTTCTGGAGAAAATATGGGTAGTTTGTGGCTAAAAACAAATACTTTTTAATAACACTGAAGCACTGGAGGCTTAAATTGAATTTGTATAAATGTTTTCAGATATGAGAAGCCATTCAATTTTAAATCGTGCAGGTCTATAATATATATTTTAAATTAAGTTTAGTATGTAAACAACCAAGCAACAGATACTTTTGGGGGGGGGGGGGTGGGAAATGACATCATTTTAGTAAGAGGAGAATGCACCATGTTAACCCTTGTTCAACCCTCTTCCCCTCGGAAACTTTCACATTTGTTGTAACACAATGGTGTAGCTATAGGACACCTTGAGGAAGGGCAAGAGGGAAAAGCCAGTTTATCCAAAAAACTTTGTCTGAACTCCTAGTGCCGCCCTTTGAGCTGGGAGCCAGCGATCTGATGTCTTTGCCCAGCATTTACTGGCTGGAAGGATGTTGTGTAGATAGCTGTCTTACCAGGAGGATAATGAAGAAGAGCACAGCTTTGTACCCTTAAGGGCCAGCTCATTCTCACTGTTGATGTCCATGTTTTATTTCCAGAGTTTGTTGTGGCCGCTGGTTATGAAATTGTTGTAATAGTTGGGAAAAGCAAGTAATAGGAGGATCTATTTTGTGAAGGATAAATAAGAGAACTTCTAATCTCAATCCATGCTATACCTAAGGTATGAGGCAAAAGAACCGAAAAAAGAAGCAGTGCCTGAAAGGTCTGACACCTTGATCTGAATCCGAAGGCTGTGAGACTCTCATATACTGGGTCTTTAAATTGATTGGGATGGTTGTGGTAGTTTCTGACCATCTGATCCTGCCCTTCACTAATACTGGGTGTAATTGAAAATGGAGGTGAGAATAAAAAAATATTCTGAAACTTTCTGCTGGCAAAGTCCCAGTAGTTTCCGTACGAACAAAAAACCAACCTGAAACTTGCTGTAAGTCAGGAAGTAAATATTTGTTTTCCCTTCCTTTATAGGAAAGGAAGAAGGTAACATTTTTGGTTTATCAAGAGGTTCCCTGTGTTTTAATCCCAGTGCGAAAAGAATTCCGCTGTGCTGCTAGAAGTGTGCTTCACTTCTCTCCCTCAGATGTGGTCACTGACACTGCTTAATATTTAAAGATGATTTTAGGATGAATCAAGTTGTTCCTTTGTTGATATTTGAAGTCAAATATGCTACTCCATAATAACATGTTTTGGATTGATAATATCTTTATTCCCGTTAATGCCTGTAGAAACTTCTCTTTCACAAATACTGCAGGTAATAATTACAGGACCCACTGCAAATGTTAGAGCTCCTTGTGCATGTACATGCACACTTTATGTACGCAATACGCTTACACGTTATCCACCCAGGAAAAGTGGAGGCCCTGCCGGACTCCCAAGAAATCCAGCTGATCTCAGAGCAGCAGGAGCTGGTCTGATGGCGGTGTCTTCGGAGCAGGAGCTGTATAAGCCTGCCAGAGCTCTTTTGCAAAAGGTTTTACAACTTCTCTTCACTGTGATGAAGATCTCTGGATCTATTTTCCATAGAGTAGATTATGGAAGAGTAGTTTTCAATAAGATAAAAACCATTAGAATAGATTAAATAGATGTGTTGGCTAATGGGGTGAGATTCAAAATATTTTGCCTGTATAAGCATGTCTGTTGTTCTTCGGTGGTTGTTTTTTTTTTCAGAGGCTGTGAAATGCAAAGTTAGCAATACAACTAGATATGGGTGGAAGTGTTGGATGGTACAGATGGCACTATAAGCTTGTAGACTTTTTACTACCAATAATTGCAATGCCCTTTCTTTCAAAGGAGTGCAGGTTGCCCTTGATGTACGCAAACAGCCATATTAATTTC